CCCCAAAACCCCAAAACCCCAAAACCCCATAAGCTATATATATGTTAGTTTAAAGATTAATTTGATATTTTGTAGATTATATAAACTTAAAATGTAGAAGAAGGACATTATCTTGGGTAAAGCAGCTAAGTTTCTAAAGGGAATGATTGAATAACCAGTATACAAAGGAACCTTTGGTTAAAACTTTTATGCAGTAATCATATAATTAAAATCATTTACATATCAGAGCTTGAGCATTAACAGAGTTGAATTAGGGGATACTTATCCAGGATCTGTTTTCTTCTAATGTACAGTCCCAGACTTCACTAAAAATACCTTTATGATGGCTCATGGTGGTGCCCTTACTACTTATATTGACATTAGTACTACAGCTGCTTTGTATGCTTTTGATGAGAAGGAGAGAGCTAATGTGTCTGCAAAATTAGATATGGATTTTTTGAGTGCAGCAGCTATTGGCAAAGATATTGAAATCGAGGCAAGAATAAACAGAATTGGGAAAAGTATGGCATTTTTAGAAGGTAGAATAATAGATCTTCAAACAAAGTAATACATTATATGAAGTGTAATTTAATTTAGGAAACTTATCTGCACAGGCACGCATCTTAAAGCTTTTGTGAATCTTGAATACAAAGTTTGATTTGAGGAGTGATTCAGTGAATCATTTATTAAATTAAGATTAAATCAAATAACTATTTTTTAAACAGAGAAGTCACATTATTTCTGCTTTAACTAGATCATTAATAATGTTAAGACTCAATTTTTTGCTTTCATTGAGAATAATGTCACATCAGTGCTAAGATTGACTTTTTTATTCTAGACGAATGCTGGCTACAATATCATAACAGATCTGCTTAAGTCATTGTTGGAAGTTTGATTAAACTTTACCTATTTTTGCTGATATCTAATCATGCTTCCATTAGGCAGTTTCTCATTTAGACTCTCAAGATGATCAAAGTCTCTATTCTCGCTCCTGTTAAGTATCCTATGAGACTATTTAAGAGATAAATTTGATGATTTGTAGATGTTGTCAAGATAAGATTATGGCTATCTCTCTGTACTCTAATTATCAGTAAATTGATAATCATTAATACTGTCCTATTTAGGCATTAATTTGCTTGAATATGACTAAAGCTATGTCTTAAGGTGAGGTAGCAGGATCTTGTGCTTTTACTTTTTATTGAGATATTGAGAGCCCTTATTATCATCATATGGGTATATAAAGAAGTCACTCTTTTACTAATCATTCTTAACTAAGTGAGATCTTTCAGACCGCTAGTTAATCTAAGGCTAAAGTTTTGTAATTACTGATTTTTTAATTAATCTATCCTCTTCTTTTAGACGAATTAAAGATTTAGTATTTTCAAGTTTGAAATTCTTGAAAATTTCCTGATCATATGATGATCTTTAAGTTAGATAGATGTTTTAGTTGCTAGATGATTATAGGCAATTTTGTGAGAGTTTATGCTAGGCATTGGTCTCTTGCTAATAACTTTACCTTTGATGCCTTAGTATATTTTAAATACTTTAAGTATTATCCAGTTTTTTTGACACAGCCAGCACGTGAGAATCCTCTAAAAGTTTTTAGTAGCTCGATTGACTATTAGATTATCTACTTTTATGTAAAGCGTTACTGATCTTTTTCCTAAGTTTTCTAATCTTTAATTTTTAATAATAGTCTAAGCCTTTGCTAGAAAAAAGCTAATTTGCTTCAAGTTTAGAAGAGGTCTGACTCTTATCAAAAGATTGCTATTCATATCTTTTTTATTCTATTTCATCAATCTATTAAAGAACTTTCCCTGGACTTTATCTATTTAGAACGTAATTATCATTATAATCCTAAATTTCTACAGGTGGCTCCTTAGATTAGCCTCGTACCTTATTTGATAGGGAAGTATTTTCAGCGTGTAGTTCTGAAGTATCAATATCAATTTACCTAAACAGATTCATAAACTTTACCAAATCTTATCTAGCATCATGGAAGGATAAGATTTACTTTTTGGGAAGGTTAATTGTTCTCCGACAGTTATCTCTTTCAGATTTAGAATGAAGGTGATTCAACATGGCTTGGAATGTCAGAGGGACATAAGAATTAGTCTAGCCATTATTGAACTCTTTTTCTCTAATTTTCTGCTTCACTCACCTCATTATTGCTCTAAAATGCTGTTTGTTTTATGTTGAAAGAATGAATCTTTTAAATTCATCTATTGATAGTTAGCCTGAACCGTCTTCATCAACTACTTTGAATATGTCTTGTAACTCCTCCTTAGTAATTAAAATGTCATTTTAATTAAACATCTCATAAAGCTCCTCTATTTCTAGAGTTCCACTTTTATCTTCATCGAATTTCTAGAATATTTAAACTATTTCATCACACCTTTTTATGTCATTGTTGTTATATAAGTACTACTCTTTTGCCTTGGCTTAATATCTTTACCTTAACCACTTGATGGTAGAAAGATCTTTGAGCTTATCTTGATCTTTTCTGGAAGGAGTTATTTCCTTTTGTGAAGGATTGCTTGTAACTGGATCATGAATGACTAGATCATCTTGCTCGAACATGTCTGAACTAAACTATAAATACATTTAATACATACTATTCATCTGATTTATTTGTAATATGTCCAAATGATGTCTTAGACTGGTGCTAAGTTGGTACGTTTGTGTTTCTAATTCGACTCATTAGTTATTTATAACTTTTCTGATTTTGTTTTTTTATCCTATTAATTATTTTTTGTATTAAATAAAGTAGTTTCTATATTTAAAATGCTTGCTTGCATTAAGGGGTTTTGGGGTTTTGGGG